CCAGTAACAAAGAAAATAAACTCGAAGCAGGAAATGCGATGAAAGAGCCAGTTTATACAGAAGTACAGTTACGTCATTGTCTTTGCGTTTATTTTCATAACGCGAAAACACTTACTTAATTACTCATTTGCAATATATATCCAAACTCAATTATTACACAAATATTCAATATTTTACAGTCAGTGGAGTAATACCTGTGTTATTCGTTCAACATATGCTTCATACTGAAATTTGAATTTGTGTCAATGCGCGGACGTTGTCCAAGGGATGGCTTGTCTGTATTTCTACTTTATTTAATATGTTACCAGAATAGTCAGCTGGTTTTACAGTTGAAATTATGGACTGGCAGAAATGGTACTCACATTCACATTTTGCAATATTGTCAGGATTTGTGCAGATGAATATTTACTTAATATTTTTTTTCAAATATTTATTGGCTTGTTTAAGTAGACGAACCACTTCTTTTTTTAAATCTCGGTAATAACCAGACTAACATGTAAACAGCTTGCTTTTTAAGTCATCATATTGCCGTGTATGGGAAGTTAACCCGGGGCAATCATGGCCGAAGTAAATACACGGGGTGTTGGTGCATAATCTATCCCACTAACGTCAACACTGAGTGAAATAGTGGGTGTCCAATTAACTGACCGTTTGATCAATGTTGTGATTCTTAAAGTTTGGGGTTATGGGCCGGGCTGGCAAAACTGTGACTACACTCGGTTGTCTCCCACTATATCTTTAATTTATGATATGATGAATTGCCTGGGTACTTGTTGTACTTAAAATAAACACATCCATCGTGGGATAACAACACAATTATATTGTGTATTCACAGATTCATACTGGTATGCAGCACGGAGTACTGATGGCTCAGGAACCACGGTGTTTGCCGACAGATGAAGTTCTGATGCCACAGAAGCTGAAGGAAAGCGGATACACCACGCACATGGTAGGAAAGTGGCATTTGGGATTCTATAAATGGGCGTGTACACCCAATCATCGAGGTTTTGACACTTTTTTCGGTGAGTTTATCTTGCTAATTGGGCGATTTGAGAATCATTAAATCCAGTCTCCATATTCTTCCATATTTCAAATCAGTGTCTTACCTTCCTTTGAGTAAATTGCGCCATCTAGTGACGAAGCGCTTCTATTATACGGCCATTCATACACAAACAAAAACAATGCTTTCGTTTTCTATTACGTCATATTGACGTCACAGAAGTTTACTGTCATTAGAGGGCGAATTTTACAAGAATAGAGCATTATTTGATATTTTATTGATCCTAATTTGTTGTAATATAGGATAAAAACAACCGACACCTAAGAGGGCTATGAAACACGTATACTCAAATGTGTTTGTGAGTATTAAGTGGTCGGTTACCTTTTTTCCATAACGCCAGTTTTTCTTCCGGGTTAATAGGCCTTGTTTAATGTTTAACTTTCGAAACCGGTAAAATCCGTTTTGAATTCTGTACAGCGTAATCACGAAAGATGATTTCCCTGCAAATGACAACAATAGTGAGGTTTCCATGACAACAATTGTGAGGTTTCCTTGACAACAATAATGAGGTCTCCTTGTAAGATTCTAATCTACCCATACCCTAGGATTTGTTCGCATATAACTGTATATAATTATGTTTTCTTAATTTACAGTATAATATTTGTTTTGTAAAATGTCTACATTTTTGTTAAGTTGTAACATTAATACTAGTTTTTGTCTTGTCACCGCCTATCGCCATTACATATTGCTTACATAAATTGTAATCATTCTCTAAATCAGAATTGAGGGTCTCCTTAATTACTATTTGAATTGTGAAACAGAAAAAAATAGTTTTGAACATCAACAGGCAACCAATTTCAGATTAAATTTATTGCTTACGAATTCCATGTGTGTAACAAATTATAACTGTGTTGCCAAGTAACACACTCACGCACTCTATTACGCATATTCACTGTCCCAACAACAGTGAAGGAGAATTACTAATAATCATAATTTCAATGTTAGCAAATTTACCAACTATCAAAACATATCTGTTGTTTTTTGTTCATCTATTTTTTACCCAACTAAAATTAACGATTAATATAACTTTGTTAAGTGACGTCACGGTAAAAACAAAATGAATAAAATAAAACATAATGATGTTTAAATTAAACCGTGTTATTAATATCTAATGTTTCCCTATTAGCTGTGCTAATAGTAAATGATAAACACAATATTGACAATGTATGCGCAGACCAGCATGGCCGAATATTTTAGTGTTTAATACGTACACTGGGTATACTTAATGAGACTAGCGTGTTAATCTAGGTATGTATCTGGCCGGTGGAGACTACTTCAATCACACCAGACTCTGTCATGGTCGGCGCCTAGCAGCCTGGGATCTCCGTGACGGTGACCAAGTTGTAGCACCAGAATATGTGGGAAAATATTCTACCATTGTGTTTGCAGAGAAAGCTCAGGAAATTATAAAGAAACATGATCCAACAAATGTAAGTATGCGTCTCTGTTCTAACAATTATTCTTGTGGAGGGGGGGGGGGTTAACGAACCACAAGGTAATTGTAAATCTCCCAGTTTTTAAAATAACGCTTTGAGATTTCAACCTGATCAAAATTACTACTTCCCAGTTCACAGAAGAATGCAGTTCAATGAACACTCATTAATTGTATTGAAATAATCTTTCGGATACACTGAGTATTATAAAAACACACGTCGTCATCTATCCTGCCTCCGAGATCCACATCCTAGTAACTGCATGCTACGAATATGGTGGTGATGTATTGTGGGTGCTCGTCCGTGACATGACATGTGTGCATTTATGACCAGTGAAAGTAATAAATACGAGCATGTCAGCACAGCTCCGTCACGCTGCTCTGTGTGCCACGTCGGTACTGCTGGCCATTCAGTCACGCTGTTCTGCGGGCCACGTCGGTACTGCTATCATTTCAGTCACGCTGCTTTGCGGGCCACATCGGCATTTCTAGCAATTCAGTCAAGCTGCTCTGCAGGTCAGGTCGGCACTGCTGGTCATTCAGTCACGACATTGATACCAACAAATTGTTTGTTTTATGATTTTAAAAATTCTTACACAATGTAGTATCTTTCATGGGAAAGATGCTACAACACAGAATTAATATTACAGCTTTGTATTTAATCCTCATCGGCTTAAGTAGATAATCCGTACAGTCTGCTATGTGACACGTGACATCCTCTTGTTTATATTGAGTAGGAAAACAATAATTTTATCTTTCTATCGATATAAGTGTGGGAATGGTCAGGGAGTGATATGGGTGTCGAAGTGGGTTGACTGTAATGTTACGCCATGAGTGTAAAGAATACGATTCTGTGTAAACTATATTCAGTGTACACTAGAAATAATTAACCTTATACATATGCAGGCCGTCTGTTAAAGAAAAAATATATACATATTAAACAAATGTTTGTGTATCATAATATATCAATAAATGTATTAGTAACATTCGAACAAAATCACTTTTTGGCAACCTGTTGATACTTCTCAGTGGTTTGTAATTAAACATGTTCGATAAATCACGCCATCTGTCGACGAAGCGCTTCGGTACCGTAAAATGTCGTAGATTGGTAAAGTACCGTAAAATGGCTTAGATTGTTGAACACAAAATCGTTCAAGTAGACAACTATGTTTAATAGTGTAGTTCTTCAAATACAGCGTTTTTGAACGGCGTCATTCCTTACACACACTTACGTAAAAGAAGAGTTTATACGCCGGAAGTTATATATACCCCGCCATCGCGTACCACATTCTGTGCTACCAATACCTTAAAACATGCCATTTGCCTTGCATACCAGAAGTCATGTAACGATACCAAATCTTGGCTGTATTTGAAAATGTTTGATATCTTTTCGTTTTTAGCCGCTGTTTCTTTATCTCTCGTTCCAAGCTGTTCACGCGCCGCTTCAGGTTCCCGAGAGGTACATCAATATGTATAAAGACGATATCCGTGATGAATCGCGTAGGATATATGCTGGCATGACCACGTGCATGGATGAAGCCATTGGAAATGTCACGAGAACCCTGGCACGAAGAGGTCTTTTGGATAACACAATCATAGTATTTTCGTCAGGTAAAAATCACACGTGACGTCAACATGTGACAAGAGTATGGTGGGGTAAAATTTTATTATTGAGTTTGAATTGCGCCCATTCCATCTTTTACTGGCTTCAAAATTTGATATTTCTAACAAATACTATAATAATGTACTACTACAAGGCCAGGGACAAGCTGCCGCCGATATTATCAACATTCAGCGTTGATTTTCAATAAGCCTAATTAAAAATGGAATGTTCAATTGAAATTAAACTTCGCATACTGTTAATACTCACTAGTTAATGAATAACCACCAGTCTTTGAAATATCCAAAGTTATGCAAAATATATATATGATGTGAAACTGACAAGTTGTCACTGTTTTATGTATTACTCTCGATTTGTACAAAGATAATGGTGGCGCCAAGTTGTACGGCGCTAGTAACTACCCGCTGAGAGGACAGAAAGGCACTCTTTATGAAGGCGGGGTGAGAGCGCCCGCATTCGTCTATAGTCCTTTGCTGAGCAATCGCGTTCGAGGAACCGCAACCCATGAACTGATGTACGTCGGTGATTGGTTCCCCACATTTCTACACCTAGCTGGAGGAAATTTGCATGGTGTAAAACCATTGGATGGAGTTAACCAATGGCATACTGTGAGGTAAACTTTAGCCAATAAAATAATTTTAATTTTTCGTGTACATTTCCCTGTCACGTGGCACCAAACACATTACACGTTGATTTACATAATTTGTCTCTGAGTATCATCGGTGGATATGAATTTCATAATGTTTATGACACACTTGTTTCTGTAATTGAATTATTTTGTTCATTGTAGTGCCGCTATGCCATCAAAAAGAACGGAAATCGTGCACAATATCGAACCATTGCGCGGTAAACCACCGAGAGTGAAAGATGAGCCGTGGTTGACTAATCCATATTTTGACATCCGGGTCATGGCGTCGATTAGAGTCGGTGAATGGAAATTAATCACAGGACGCAAAGGTAGGAAACACACTCTACCACCGGCTTCGGGTCATTATGACTGCCAGCGCCGTCTATTTCTACAAACTCTTGTGTTTCATTTTCATTTATTCGACTAATGACGATGATGTTATTGGGGACACTGTTTCTGTGGGATGGTCAACTTTATAACCTGTTTCAATATTTATATTCTTGACAGTGTTACAGCAAAGCAATATAATTATATTAATTTCACCTAGGTGACCCGACTTGGACAATCCCTCCCGAGCTGGGAGGCGGATCAGTTGACCCAGGCAGACCTACAATTGTGGAGTTGTATCATATTAAAGAAGACCCCTTAGAACGGACAGATCTATCCAGGGATAGACCGGACATTGTCAACAAATTGTTAGAGAGGTTGCGTTATCACAGCGATACATCGAGACTTCCGGAAACACCCACACCTGTGTTCGATACATCCGACCCTCTCCATCACAACATGGCATGGGGACCATGGGAGTAATTGCAACTACACCACTGTATGCAGTAACTGCAACTACACCACTGTATGCAGTAACTGCAACTACACCACTGTATGCAGTAACTGCAACTACACCACTGTATGCAGTAACTGCAACTACACCACTGTACGCAGTAACTGAAAACTACACCACTGTACGCAGTAATTGCAACTACACCACTGTATGCAGTAACTGCAACTACACCACTGTATGCAGTAACTGCAACTACACCACTGTATGCAGTAACTGCAACTACACCACTGTACGCAGTAATTGCAACTACACCATTGTATGCAGTAACTGCAACTACACCACTGTATGCAGTAACTGCAACTACACCACTGTATGCAGTAACTGCAACTACACCACTGTACGCAGTAACTGAAAACTACACCACTGTACGCAGTAATTGCAACTACACCAATGTATGCAGTAACTGCAACTACACCACTGTATGCAGTAACTGCAACTACACCACTGTATGCAGTAACTGCAACTACACCACTGTACGCAGTAATTGCAACTACACCATTGTATGCAGTAACTGCTACTACACCACTGTATGCAGTAACTGCAACTACACCACTGTACGCAGTAACTGCAACTATACCACTGTATGCAGTAACTGCAACTACACCACTGTACGCAGTAATTGCAACTACACCACTGTATGCAGTAACTGCAACTACACCACTGTATGCAGTAACTGCAACTACACCACTGTATGCAGTAACTGCAACTACACCACAGTATGCAGTAACTGCAACTACACCACTGTATGCAGTAACTACAACTACACAAATGTATGCAGTAACTGCAACTACACCACTGTATTCAGTAACTACAACTACACAAATGTATGCAGTAACTGCAACTATACCACTGTATGCAGTAACTGCAACTACACCACTGTATGCAGTAACTGCAACTACACCACTCTACACAGTAATTGCAACTACACCACTGTATGCAGTAACTGCAACTACACCACTGTATGCAGTAACTGCAACTACACCACTGTATGCAGTAACTGCAACTACACCACTTCATGCAGTAACTGCAACTACATCACTGTATGCAGTAACTGCAACTACACCACTGTATGCAGTAACTGCAACTACACCACTGTATGCAGTAACTGCAACTAGATCACTGTACACAGTAAATGCAACTACACCATTCTACACAGTAATTGCAACTACGCCACTGTATGCAGTAACTGCAACTACACCACTGTATGCAGTAACTGCAACTACACCACTGTATGCAGTAACTGCAACTACACCACTGTATGCAGTAACTGCAACTATACCACTGTATGCAGTAATTGCAACTACACCACTGTATGCAGTAATTGCAACTACACCACTGTACGCAGTAACTGCAACTACACCACTGTATGCAGTATTGCAACTACACCACTGTATGCAGTAACTGCAACTACACCACTGTATGCAATAACTGCAACTACACCACTGTATGTAGTAACCAACTACACCACTGTACGCAGTAACTGCAACTACACCACTGTATGCAGTAACTGCAACTACACCACTGTATGCAGTAACTGCAACTACACCACTATACGCGGTAACTGCAACTACACCACTGTATGCAGTAACTGCAACTACACCACTGTATGCAGTAACTGCAACTACACCACTGTACACAGTAATTGCAACTACGCCACTGTATGAAGTAACTGCAACTACACCACTGTATGCAGTATTGCAACTACACCACTGTATGCAGTAACTGCAACTAAACCACTGTATGCAGTAACTGCAACTACACCACTGTGTGTAGTAACTGCAACTACACCACTGTACGCAGTAACTGCAACTACACCACTGTATGCAGTAACTGCAACTGCACCACTATACGCGGTAACTGCAACTACACCACTGTATGCAGTAACTGCAACTACACCACTGTATGCAGTAACTGCAACTACACCACTGTACACAGTAACTGCAACTACACCACTGTATGCAGTAACTGCAACGACACCACTGTATGCAGTAACTGCAACTACACCACTGTATGCAGTAACTGCAACTACACCACTGTATGCAGTATTGCAACTACACCAATGTATGCAGTAACTGCAACTACACCACTGTATGCAGTAACTGCAACTACACCAATGTATGCAGTAACTGCAACTACACCACTGTATGCAGTAACTGCAACTACGCCACTGTACGCAGTAACTGCAACTACACCACTCTACACAATAATTGCAACTACACCACTGTATGTAGTAACTGCAACTACACCACTGTATGCAGTAACTGCAACTACATCACTGTATGCAGTATTGCAACTACACCACTGTATGCAGTAACTGCAACTACACCACTGTATGCAGTAACTGCAACTACACCACTGTATGCAGTATTGCAACTACACCACTGTATGCAGTAACTGCAACTACACCACTGTATGCAGTAACTGCAACTACACCAATGTATGCAGTAACTGCAACTACACCACTGTATGCAGTAACTGCAACTACACCACTGTACGCAGTAACTGCAACTACACCACTCTACACAGTAATTGCAACTACACCACTGTATGTAGTAACTGCAACTACACCACTGTATGCAGTAACTGCAACTACATCACTGTATGCAGTAACTGCAACTACACCACTGAATAAGTAACTGCAACTACACTAATGCATAGATTAACAGCAATTACACCACTGCATAAATAACTGCAACTACACCACTACATAGAGTAATTGCAATTACACAACAGCATCTAATAACCGCAACTACAACCTGCATAAATTAACAGGAATTATACAACTGCATACATAACTGCAACTACACCACTGCATGTAATAACTGCAACTACACCACTGCATAAAGTAACTGCAACTACACCACTGCATAAAGTAACTGTAATTACACCACTGCATATATTACTGCAAACTACATCACTGCCTATATAACTGCAATTACACCACTGCAAAAGTAACTGCAACTACACCACTGCATAAGTAACTGCAACAACATCACTGTATAGAGTAACTGCAATTACCCCACTGCATATATAACTGCAACTACACCACTGCATACAGTAACTGCAACTACCACCACTGAATAAGTAAATGCAACTACACCATTGCATAAAGTAACTGCAACTACACCACTGCATATATTAACTGCAACTACATCACTGCATGAACTAACTGC